ACCGTGACACAGCCAACTTTGGCAGTGCGTCGAACTCCGCTCACCACAAACACCATACAACAGAATCCCCTCTCAAACATCATGCTCGAAACGGTCAACAATGGAGCTGCTGGTTGGTGCCAGCAAAGGAACGAAATCTGCAATGCTTACTTTAAGTGTTGTCCAGACCTTGTATGCTACACTCGTGGAACTTGTGGAGATCTGGTCTAACAACTTTGCACTGCGGTCGGCATCGAGATACTTAAGTAATTATAGAATGTATGCTGTTTAAGAATAATATACGATGTATAAGTTAATATGAAGCTTTGGGTATACCATGCTTGTCAAGTTGTCAATAATGCATGTAACGAAACGAATAAGGCCAGGCCATAATAATACGTTATTATTGTCTTGTGTTTTGGTATTATATGTGTTGCAATATCACTCAAGCGCAAAGTTGTACCCGCGCCTAAACATAAATATAAAGTACATAAAACTGAATATATTTTTTATCTCGCAATTTTTAATATTTATAAGTCACAAAAATGGAGAAAATTATACTATGTACCTATAAAAATAATTGACAATATACCTTTTGTGTACATACTCTCTGGGGAATTGGCACATATATGATGACAAAGTTAAGAATTTCAGATGCGAATTCTAAGTCGTTTGGATGATCGACCTACCTTGTAATGTATGGTCTGGTTATACCTAAATTAGATGTGTCAAAACTGACCCATTCGATTCAATCTAAAATCGGTTTGAACAAAACTCAATTTAGATTTCAACTTGTATGGAATTAATAATTTAGCATGACTCGAATTTAAAAAAGACTGATGTGACCCAACCTTATCGAAGCCGACCCATATATTTGAATTAACACCTCTAGCTAATACACCGCAATTTCCAAACAGGTTTATACTAGTAAAGTGAATAGACCGAAGGAAAACAGGGCTCGTTGTTTTCACCTTAATTAGTTAGTTGATTTGTAATTCGCTGATTTATGCAAACCTTCTTTGAATAAATTAAGTTGCCCTCTTCATTGGATCCCCCTTGCCAACTCCTCAAATATTGTTGTGTGAGTATGTAAATTTTTTTTGTAGTTATCAATATATCAACATAATACTATGTAATATAAACTTAATAATGTACCGAATAAGGTTGATTGGTTTAATTATTACAATTAAGTTGTCTATCAATTAGATCTACAAATTGAATAGTAGACTTTTTTTTGTTTTAATACTGATAGGGACGAATATAAGTATAATTTTTTAAACATAATCCACATGTTAATGTTTGGAACAAATTATTATTAACTCATGGTCCAAAGTCCATTTAATTATATACTTTGTACTTGTAAAAAAAGAAAAAAAAAAAGTGAATATCGGAGAATTCGAAAATTCGTACTGATAGCATAGCTAGGTCTGTACAAAACTATCCGAGAATTCAAAAATTCGATCAGCAACCGATCCAAATTTTCATTTCGCATCGGATATCCAATCCGAAAAAGTGAATATCGGATACAGATTTGGATATTGATTTTCAAAATTTTGGATATCCGATATCCGAAATATAAAGGCTGAAATAGTGAAATATATATAATTTTTTTGAATTGTTCATATAAAAATGACCCTGTATTATTAACTTATTATAACATTGTTAATATATTTTATGATAATTTTTTTTGCAAAAAGACTACTATTTTATTAAAATGTATTGTACAACTTAACAACAAGAAGTTGTAAAATTAGTGAAGTTTAGAAAGTAATCATGCATAATCAATTTTACTTAATATTAGAATTAGATTATGGATATCCGAATTCGAATATCCGAAATTTTCGGATCGGATTTGGATATCAGTTTCTGATATCCGATTATTCGGATATCTGATCCAAAATCACATTTCGGATCGGATATCCGATCCGTGAACAGGTCTAGGCATAGCCACTCTTATTTATTGCTTAGACTTTTTTTTTCAAATACATACACCTCTTTGACCATTAGTTTTTGTATTAATAATTAATAATAATAAAAAAAAGGCAAAAGCTAACGAACACTCCCGAGACGTTGGATAAGCTAACAAAATATAGAAATACGGAGTATAAAATTAAAATGACACCGATCGAATTATGATTTTTGCATGCATTTTAAAATTAATACTACATTAGAAAATATTTAAATGTTTATTAAACGTCCTGAGGCGTTCGTTAGCAATATCTTAAAAAAAATTATAAATCTATAATTTGAAAATATGTAGTAGAAGCAATCTAACAATAATGTTTAACAGTACATCTGTACATGTAAATATATACATTTAATTTTACAGTGTCAATCTTTTACAGTAGATTTTAATTAAAGACTAATCATCTTAAATGCGAACAAGTCTACACGTTAAACAAAGAAGGATATTCCATGAAATTCAGAGCATCAAAGACGGCTTGGGTATATTTATTTATTTCTCACTTCCTAAGGAATAATGGGTACGTATGGGCTAGTCTTACATTTTAGGTGGAAAATGACGAATAATAATAATACTTGTCGAAGCTAATATATTATCTAGTTGCAATTTCAATTTAATACGTGTGAGACACTCTTAACTTTTATAAATATTCAAAGCTATGGTTGAAAATTGGCACATATATGATTAGTTAAGAATTTCAGATACCAAATCCTAAGTTATTTGGATGATCGACCTACCTTGTAATATATGGCCTGGTTATACCTAAGTTAGATGTGTTAAAACTGATCCATTCGATTCAAACTGAAATCGGTTTGAATAAAACTCAATTTGGATTTCAACTTGTATGGAATTAATAATTTAGCATGACTCGAATTTAAAAAAGACTTATGTGACCCAACACTTCTATCTAATACATCTCAATTTCCAAACAGGCTTATACTAGTAAAGTGAACTAGACTAAAGGAAAATAGGGTACGTTGTTTTCGCCTTAAATTAATTAGTTTTTTTTTTTGAAGACAAATTAATTAGTTAGTTGATTTGTAGTTCGCTGATTTATGCAAACCTTCCTTGAATAAATTAAGTTGCCCACTTCATTGGATCCCCCTTGCCAACTCCTCAAATACTGTTGTATGAGTATGTAAATTTTTTTTGTACGTAGTTATCAATTTATCAACGTAATACTATGTAATATAAACTTAATAATGTACCGAATAAGGTTGATTGGTTTAATTATTACAATTAAGTTGTCTATCAATTAGATCTACAAATTGCATAGTAGACTTTTATTTTTTAATACTGATAGGGACAATATAAGTATATTTTTTTAAACATAATCCACATGTTAATGTTTGGAACAAATTATTATTAACTCGTGGTCCAAAGTCCATTTAATTATATACTTCGTAGTTGTCAAAAAAAAAAAAAAAATTATATACTTTGTATATGTGTACTATATTAATTAAAATAATTGATCAAAATAACATGGAGTAATAATTGAACCAAACATATCAAAAAAAGGCCCTACGTACTTAAAATATTTTATTACACAACCAAGTAGAGTGTTGGATATAACAATAGTAAGAAAATCAACACTTGAATCTACCGTTCACATGCATATATATTGATAAGGTTCGTAACAAATGTTCTTGTAGTTATCTACAAGCTAAGAGTGTAGTAGACCATAGATATATATATAAATTTTACATATATATAAAAATGGAAATACATACATTTATTTTAAAACGCGTCTTAAATACTGTAAAAAGCTTGAATGAGGCAAAAAGATAGGATGAAGTATTTCTCACCAATAATGAGTGACATAATTGTTAAGATTAATGTTTTTTATAACCTTATAAAGAACATGTTGATTCTAACAATAAATTATGTACATGTTGATAGGATAATCAAAAGTAATTGGGGATTGATTGATTAGAAATGTAATGATTGTACATATGAGTCTAGGTCGTACACATCACCAAACAATAGTGTAAAAATTGTAAATTTTGATTTTTTTTTTCCATTAATCTTGATTTCATTGATCAGGTTTAAGCTCGAAATAACCCAATTTATAAATTCTTTATGTGAAATACTCGAATGCTCAAATTAAAGGTTGACTTGACTATGACCCAATTTGAACTTATTGTATTGGAACAAAACTATTTGATCACTAAGCTATAAGAAATTTAACCTGTCTCGAATTGACTAGATCCTAACTTGACTGAAATTGCGGCCCTCAAAATTTAGGTTGGGAAGGGTCAATTGCAATTTAGCCTAAAGTCCGACCCGACCCAAACTTGATATGAAGTTTCAACATGAAACCTAATTACCTAGCCCATTATCTAGTGACCTAATTAAGCATGCATGCACACCTAGCTAAACTAGAATTGACCAGATAGATCCCATCTGTACCAACCCGAAGACATAGTTGACCCAAAATGATAACCCAATCCAAACCCGATATCCAAGTCTATGCATGTTTGACTATAATATAGAACCTTTTTTTTTTTTTTTACACACCACAATAATACATATATGTACTCGTATCCAAGGTGTCCATGGCAAGAACCTTTTTTATTTATTGAGTCTGGCCTTTAAAATTTAACATAAATTTTAAAACTAAAAATTAGTTTTATCTGATCCATTAGAAACCATGTCCTGATTTGACTCTGATCCATCTAATTTATGTAGGATCCTAGGCACGATAGCTATTTATTTTATGTAAGTGTGTTTTCTCATTTTAGACGAGCATATGCTTGTGCTAACTTTTCATCAAAAAAATAATAATACATACTTATATCAAATACGTATTATTAAAATTGTTTTAGCATCCTGTTTCATCACATGCAACGAACTAATAGCCGGACGCCGGACCCTTGAATAAAATGAACATTATCCTTGCATTATTTTTATGTAACGTTGTTAACACTTCCTTGTACACGTGATCCTCATGTTAACACTTCCTCGTCAACGTGATCCTCGTGTTTAATCATTAACTTTGATAATTAAGCTCCTTACCATTCAAGTCGTCGATCTGTTTGCCTATTTAAGAAGATTATGCTACACATTAAACCTTGCCTTTCACTAAATTATCATACACATTAGTTATCAATCATTTTCTACATTATCAACGCCTCAACATTTACGTAAGTTTCTCCATCCCAAATTCCCAATTATATGTGTTCGTTGTTTTCTGTAGTACGTTCAGTTCAGAGCTAACTTTAATCATTAATTAATAATATAATAATGTGTTGTTGTATCAGTGTATATATAGTTTTAACTATACCTTATGCAATAATCTCTTTGCTTGATCTGATAAATGATGGTGAAATCATTTTAATGACCATCTACTCATTAAAAAAACAAATAATGTACTCCTACTTGTATTTCATATTGAAGGTTATTAATTTTTTTTGAACGGGGAATCAAAAGTGGCCTGAATAGGCAATTTTAACTAAAAAATTATTACAGCCTTTAAAATTTAACATAAATTTTAAAGCTTAAAATAAATTTTATCTGATCTATTAGATGTTACTCGTATTTAAATTTTATGGTTTAAAAATAATTTTCATTGATTACAATTTAAATTTGTCACAATTCTCATCACTTATGTCAATATATTATAGCTGATTTATTTACGTACACAGCTTATACATAAATTTTAGTAATCTAAATCGATTTAAAGATAAAGACCTAAATCATTATAGTGCAGCTTTTTACTAATTGATTGGATTAATTTTTAAAGCTGAGAAGAAAGGATTTGTATTTGAAACTCTTACAAAAAAATACAACATTAAACCCTTAATTATCGTGAACTTAAAACAAAACACACACAACAACATCAACAAAAAAAAGTAACTAAATAAATTTGAAAATCCCTACATGCAGACAAAGTTTTTGGCTGATTAGAACTTATTTATGAGAATTAAATTTAAGTTTGGCTAACAAATGTTTTTTATATTCATAAAAACATAGTATTGGATATTAGAATTGACTTTAACCAAATAACCAAAAAATTTTAAGTATTACTTCGTATTATTTATTTTTTTTGAGTTGAAAACAAGTTATAAAGCTTTAGTGAAAACTTTTAATACCTTTTCTAAGATGACCCGATCTTTTTCGTTTAAAACTCAATATGAATCATCATGTTTTTATTTTTCAATTATATATTATCGTCACAAATTATTAGTATACTAAATACATGTTATTATAAAATTCTATTTTTCGTAAGTTATAATACAATCAAAGTAACATGGTAGCTAGAATTGAATTACGTAGTACTTAATTTAATTAATTAAGTGTATATACATATAATATAGTCCATAATTATTATAAGTATACAAGTAATCTAAGTTAACGACCGCTAAATTTTCAAAGGCCATCAATTGAAACCCTATTATAAAATAAACCACCACCACCACTAACACCCACTCCCCACCCCTACAACCCACCACTGAAACCCACATCTATCCCCTCGCCACCTGCGACACCAATCGCCCACCCATGCCACCCGCCACACTAAAATCCAAAAAAAAAAAAAAAAAAAAAAAAAAAAAAAAAAAAAAAAAAAACTCAAAACTCAAATCCAACTTTTTCACGTTTCACTGAACGAATTAAAAATAGATTGAAGCCAAGAAAGCCCACCTTACTGCACCCACATTGGTGGGGTTACTTACCTCTTTCTCTCTCCTGCTTTTTCCTTTTCACATTATCTCTACAGCATATTCTACTATCTTGAATTACTATTGTAATTCAACCCTTGATAAATTATATGGATATTTCACCAAATATCACTGAGTAATTTCGAAATTTCACCAAACGCCGTCGAACTTTTCAGAATTCACTAATACCACTGAGTTTTAGTATAATATCACCAAATGTCATTTCCGTTAGTTGACCCCACCACTTGTCACGTATCACCTTCTGATTGGTCCCTTTTTAAAAAAAAAATAACAAAAAAAAATAAAAAAAAGGAACTCATAGGTGGCCAGCCACCAGCTCCTCCCTGCCGTCGAGCCCTTTGCCCACCCCAAAACCCTAGCCGCCACCACCCCCTACCGTCGAGGCTAGCACCGGAAGGCGCGCCGGCCGCTGGCGAATCCTCCCCTTCCCTTCCCCTATCCCGTCGCGACCCCCTTACCCGCAAAACCCCACCTCCCTTCCTCCACCACCCACAAAAGTAATTCAAAATGCTGAAAATTGATAACTAGATTATGAAATTGTGATAAACACGAAAGTAATACTCACAATTAAAGTAATGGATAAATAAGAGGAGGATAGAGAACATGGTGTGCGCTTCAATGGAACCCAGATTTCGCTTCAAGGGAGAAAATGGAGTGTGCTTCAATGGGAGGAGCGGCGGTGAGGGGGGCTGTGGAGGCGAGCTGCTTCAATGGAGAGACAAAAATGGAGGAAGTGGTTTAATACATGCGACGGGGGGAGGTTGGTCGCGACGGGGGAAGAGGAGGGGAAAGAGAGGGGGGTTATTGGATTTGACGCGTTTTCTGGTGGTGGGGTTGAGGGGGGTGGCTGTTGTGGTGTTGGTTGGAAGTTATGAAGGAAAGGGAACGTGGTGGGGCTAGGGTGGTGGATGGGGTTTTTTTTTTTATTTTTTTTTAAATATTTTTGGTTTCGTTTTTATTTTTTTTAAAATTTTTGTTTAATTACTTTTTTTTTAAAAGGGACCAAGCAGAAGGTGACACGTGGCAAGTGGTGGGGTCAACTAACGAACAATGACGGTCAACTAACGGAAATGGCATTTGGTGATATTATACTAAAACTCAGTGGCATTTAGTGAATTTTGAAAAGTTCGATGGCATTTGGTGATTTTCGAAATTACTAAGTGGCATTTGGTGAAATAGCCGTAAATTCTATTAATTTCATTATAAAAAAAAGTCATAACTTAATTTTTAATAATATAATTAATTAATAACCTTATATTTTAATTTTTATTTTGATTAACAAATAAATTAGTCTAGTTGAGCATCAGTGGTTTCAAAATTATTAAAATAACTAAATATGTTAAGTTACTGTTACTATTAAAACAACAATGTTGAGACATTAGAAACTTTAAACCAGATGGATACTATTAGGGATTTGATGTACAATTGTTGTTGAAATAATTGGTTTAGAGATTGTTGAGGAAACTAGTTAGAAAATTGTTGGTTTGGATGTATTATTGGCCGATTAGAAATGTTATGATATAACATCCTTTGAACATTTGGATTAGAAAGTGTATTTGGGTCAAAATGATAATTAGCTTGAAAACTTAAAGACTGTTGGAAATTTGGATTATTTGTGGAGCAGAAATTATTTTCTTGATTAGGATTACTAGGATCCATAAGTATCACAAATATTTTGTTTTTTGGGTTTGGATGATATGAAAATTGTAGGTTGTGGGTTAATAGAGAGAGACCAAAAAAATTTAAGTGAAAAAGTATGTCAGATCAATATTGGACTCAATTTATAGGTAAAATTGTGATAATTTCAACGATAATTTTTTTTTTAAATAAAGCAGAATTTTTTTTATCATCGTTGAAATGTATTTGGTGTAAAATTAAAATTCATAAATATGAAATGGTGAATGGTGCTCAAAAATAAAATAATGCATGGTAGAGTTTTTCCACGTGGCCCATTATGTACGGACATTTAAATATTTGTGGTCACACGGCCACTTTATAATAAGAGTCCTTCTTTCTAATGCATATCAGTATTGTAGGTAAAAGTCTTTTTTTTTACTTCGTGATTTCTCTTCATATAAGTGACGCCGTTTGAGTCATAAGATAAGGCAAAAAAAAAAAAAAAAAAAAAAAAAAAAAAAAAAAAAAACACCAGCTTTGTGGTACATGGACTGAGGAGATAGCCTACGGAAGAAAGAGGAGCCTTAGCTCAAATGGTAGGAGAGAGAGGTGTGATTTTAAAACAAAATATACGTTGAATCTGATGATTTACTGAGCAAAATAATTTTTTACACTTAATTTACATGTGATGTGATTAATCAACACGTTTATCCGACATAATCCTGCCTAGCACGTGCGCTGCCATGTACATGTATTTTTTTTTTTTTAATAATAGACCGTATTCCCCTAGTCCCCTGCTACATAATACAAAGTTTCTATAGTCATAAAATTGAAGTCAAATATTACATGTTACAATTATCAAAGACAGCATATTTCAAAAAAAAAAAAATACAAGTATATCAATAAAATTATAGGAGTACTTGGTATTTATTTGATTTTTTTTTTTGGGTCTAAAACGTTCTCGCACGCATCTACTTTCCTCGTGATTTCTATTTAAAGAAGAAGATAAGTTGAAGTGTTGAACGTTGCAGCTCATTGTTTTTTCAATACGACGTTCTCTAAGTCATCAAAGTATAAACTGATCAAGCAACCCTTTTTTTTTTTTTTTTTTTTTTTTTTTTTTTTTTAAGGAAAGGGTTTGAAAACTAATTAAATCAAAGATGCCTCAAAGGAGCTAAGTTAGAGTTATTACAGACCAGGGGAGTTAGGATATCATCAAGCAACTTTCATTTAATTTCACAGTTTTTATTGGTATGTCATCCTCGATTTTGATATATTAAGCTTAAGCCACGTTACTTTTTTTTTTTTTATTATTATTATTATTATTATTATTGATTTTACCATTTTTTTTTTCTATTGTTGATGTTTATTACTTCTAATTTGTATTATTACACTAACTTTTATACTAGTATGTGACTTATTATACTGTATGACAAGTTGATAACCATCGTAGGGTTATTGTGCTAGGATTATTATAGGGGTTTATTATGTCAGTGTTATAGGGGTTACTTTGTTATTTAAGGATTTAATGATCAATAATAAGAATAATAAAGGGTTATTATATCAATGTTATAAGGGATTACATGTATATTTTGCAGGCGGTCACTCAACGTGTTCAACCGCATAAAAAACGCACTGTATTTTTATTGGATTTATTGTGAACTATTTTGTGCAATCAATGTAGTAATTATATTATTTTTGTTTAAATTTTCTTGCACTCTTATATTATTAATTTTAAATATTGCTATATATATTACCATAACTTATAACCAAATCTTTTTTGTTGTAAACTTAAAGTCCTTTAACAGGTAAAATGAATGGAATACAAACAATAATGAGAGCTTTTGTTGTGGTAGCTATATCAACATGGTTAGTCATCCTTAAACCAACATTTGCGGCGTCAGATCTAAGTTTCGATGCAACAAATCCGGCGGCGACAACGTATTCGAAGCTATTGAGCGACTTGCGTAACTTGGTGAAGGACCCAAAACTCAAATACGGCGGCACCAACGTACCAGTAATGGCTGCTACTTTCAAAAAGAAGTACATTTTGGTTGATCTTAAGGGATCAGAGGGAGGAACCATCACAATAGCTTTGAATTTAAATAATGATATATATGTGGTTGGATATCTTGACAAACTTAATGGAAACTTTAGGTCACATATTTTTAAAGATGCTCCTTCGGACGCAAAAACCGATCTCTTTCCAGAGGCAACGGGTAAAAATCGTCTAACAATTAACTACAAAAGTTCATATGCTGATATAGAGAGTAATGCTGGCGTATCGAGTCGGGCTAGAGTGGGATTGGGAGTTAAACCGCTGAACAAGTTCATCAACGATGTCTACGGAAAGGCGCTTGTTGTCAAGAATGAAGCTCAGTTTATGCTTGTTGTTATTCAAATGGTTTCAGAAGCAACACGTTTCAAATATATCGAATCCATGATTTTGGAGAAATTTGCGGATTCTTATAACCCCGATCCAAAAGCAATGCGATTGGAGATTCGTTGGAGTAAGATTAGTAAAGGTATTAAGGATTCTAAGAAGGGAGTAATCTCACCGGAGCTCGATTTAAAGGATGTGAATGATAAGGATTGGAAAGTGACTAAAGTCGAAGACATAGTTAATGATATGGCACTCCTTAAAAATTTTGGAAGTAGCAGCCAAGTATCTGTATTTACTAAGTTGAAGCTGTTTATGACCAAGTTTTTAATAACCAATATTGGTGAAGATCAAGCTGCTGACTTGTGAAGTTCTATTTAAGACGTGCATAAATCATGTAATAATGTTAAGTAACAGAATGTTTGGTAAGCCGTCATATCGACGTGTGTAATGTATGAAATTTGCTTATGTTTAATTTCCATTTCCCAAATGAAATAAAGCACAATTTATGTTTGATTTGTTATTATTAATATTATTTGGTATTGTGGTTTCACATATTTGAAAAGGTATTCAGCGTTCAAAGAGACTCCTTGCTTTTCATCACATTGATTAAGCAAAGTTGCATGTACATGGTGTAGTGTGCCTAGTCACCCACAATGTCTCTTCTTAGACATTTTTACACTTTGTAAAGGATAGATAGCTCTTGTTCTATAAATATTTCTACCATGCTTGTAGAGTTAAACTTAATTGGTTTTACGATTTTATATAAAAAAAAATAATAAAATTAATTCAAAGACCATATGGGTTGAGCTCATGGACTAAAGCGTGACGTTTAGCAAATATGTTGGGCTACGGCTCCCTTCTTTTGTGGAGAAACCCAATTATGTTTAGGGCGACCTGTTTAGTTTTTGGCCCAAGTGTTTGTTGACTTTGAAGTGCCTTTAACGTGAAAAAGGAGTGGCCAACAAAAGTCTTTTGGTAATTGGTACTCCCTCTGTTTTTTTTTTTAAGCTAGAATTGGATTTGCATATTTGCCGAGACACAATTTTAACAACAATATCTTTAATTATACATTAGTAAAAATTATGAAAACATTAATTTATAAAAGTAGACATTATGACAAATCCAACAACATATTATATGATCATATTTATATATTATATATTGGTAAGAAAATTAAGCAATGATGACATATGAATAGTGGAAAATCCCAACTCTAACTTATAAAAAAAAAAAAAACGGAGGGAGTATCATTTACTTGCAGCCAGCAATGAGTAAATAGGGGGAAGGAATTAGCTGCAAGGAAGAGAGGAAACACAGACAATACTTTCAAGTGTGCAGCCATATATTTCATGTTTTTCTTGGAGCAGCCACAGAAATCATGACCTCCAATCCGATTCGATCTAACTATCTGTGGTTTGATTATGCTCAAATTTGTTGATGTTTTTGAGTATTAGGGTTCATAGAGTGGAAGGATGAGGAAGAAATTTGGATTGACTTGGTGAAAAAGGGAAAAAATCGTTCTTAATTAAAAGGTCACGTGATTCTTTTAGCTGGAAAACAAAGTCAATATCAGAATCCGGTCAAAAAATTATCTTCACTACCCAAGTGGGATAAAAGGACATTTTTTGTCACTTTAATTTTATATTAAATAAATGGACCTTTAACACATATTGGATCACTTAAAAGGACCTTTACCATCAATATGAGTGTTCGTCCCTATTGGGCCAACATTTGCAGCATCAGATCTAAGTTTCGACGCAACAAGTCTCACGATGTCTATATAATCAAAACTATTGAGCCATTTGCGAGACAAGGTGAAGGATCTCAAAATCAAATACTCAGCACCAATGTACTAGTAACGGCAGCAACATTCAATTACCTTTTGGTTGATCTTAAGGGATCAGAGGGAGGAATAACAATCACAATAGCTTTGAATTTATGAAAATGACTAGGGATTTCAATGTGCGCGATGAGCACGGTATGACTAGTCCTTTGAGAAGAATATCAGTGTCTTTTATGCCTTATGTATGTTTGCATGATATTTTACTATAACTATTTGCACAGAGACAATAAATGTGTTGGATGTTGTATAGTTGTGCAATATTTGAAACTTTAGTAGAACTATATTTAGCGAAGGAACGGTAAAAAAATATCGAGTTCTAGAAATATAAATGTCTAATAAATTTTAAGTACATTAGGACAAATTAAATAAATTAAACAAGACATCTTACAATAATATAATTCTTGTACTCCATATATTTTAAATTAATTTAGAGTTAAAAAAAAATTAATTTAGAGTCTCTTTAATACTTTATACTTCGTATTAAATATTGTCTGAATTACAAATAGGAAAAACAAAAAGACATGGGAAGAGTAAAAGATGGCTTAAATATTGAAACAAACACAATTTTTTATTTATAAATAATTAATCAATCAATTTAGGGGATTCATGAGATAATTTTAATGCTTTTGAAATTAAATGGGGGCAAATATGTAAAAGAATATTTTTAGGGATATAAATGTCCATGTAATTATAAAAAATTAATCAATCAATTTAGGGGATTCAAGAGAATTTTAATGCTTTTGAAATTATAAATGGGGGCAAATATGTAAAAGAATATTTTTAGGGATATAAATGTCCATACACTATTAATAAGAATATTATTAAACTTTTTAAGGTAGGGATATATATGTGATTGGCTATCTTGACAAAGTTAATGAAAACTTTAGGTCACATATTTTTAAGGATGCTCCTTTAGATGCAAAAAATGATCTCTGTCCAGAGGCAAAAGGTGCTACAAACCGCGTAAGAATTAACTACGAAAGTTCATAAGGTGATAGTGAGATAATTTGCTGGCATGCAATGGATCCGAAGTCTACGGAAAGGTGCTTGTTGTTAAGGTCAAAGCTCACTAATGATTGTTGTTATTCAAATGGTTTAAGAGGCAACACGATTCAAATATATCGAATCCATGATATTGGGAAATTTTGAGAATTCTTATAACCCCGATCCAAAAGCAACGCAATTGGAAATTCGTTGGAGTAAAATTGGTGAAGGTATCAAGGATTCTAAAAAGGGAGAGATCTCACCGGAGCTTGACTTGAAGCATGTGAACAATACGGATTGGAAAATGTCTACAGTCCAAGACGTAGTTAAAGACATGTCACTCCTAAAAAATTTGGAAATAGCCAACAAGTATATGTGTTTACTAAGCTTAAGCCATCATGAACAAGTTTTTTATAACTTAACCAACTTCTGGTTAATTTTAGGGTTGAGATCCAATGAAAAATTTCTTATAATAGGGATAAAATGTGCATTTATTTTGAATTTAATGTGCATATATTTTTTACTACATCGCATTTTTTGTGTGGCCGGGATTACTTATTCAGAAATTACTCAGTCGGTTAGAGGTTACTTATTCAAGGCTTACTTATTTAGGGGTCACTCGGTCAGTCAAGGGTTACTTATTCAGGGGTTACTCGGTCAGGGATTACTAAGTCAGGGGTTATTCTGTCGATTAAGGGTTACTCGGTCAGATGGGGGTTAATTCGTCAGGGTTATTTAGTCGGTTAGGATTACTTATTCAGTCAAGGGTTACTTAATCGATAAGGGGTTACCTCTAAATAAGTAACCCTGCCCACACAGTGTGGCCAGACACATATGAAAATTTGTGTATCTACTAGTGGGTGTTTGGTATAAACACCATAAATAGAATGGAAATGTTTTGAATAAATAGGGGGAATGTAATGATAAACGTTACCTTTATTATATGTTTGGTATCCTAATGGAATGGAAACAATATGAGTAGATTGTAATCGAGTAAGGTAATATATTTTGTTTCCAATAGTTTGTCAAGGGTATAGCAACAAATTAGGGGATTTTGTTACCCTCCAAAATCAGTATTTGTTATTTTTACTCATATCAAACAACTAGAAATGGAATCACTTAATTGAATTTGTTTCCTTCACCTATAATTACTATACCAAACGCCCCCTAAATAATAATGTGCACCTGATTCTTTTTTTTTTTATATAGTTATATCAACCTTACTAAAACTGTTAAAACCGCCGATAATTATAGTACCGACGACTTATAGTTATGTTTTATGGGCTCTTTTTATTTACAAATAAAACAATACAGAGTATTTAATTACAAACACTACTTTGATTAGATTTTGTGGTTTATACTTTATAATTATGTTTGTGAGATCTTGTTATATATATATGATCATGTGACAACACATCCCTTATGTGAGAATCCCAACTTATGTGAGAATAAATCTAGACTTTTAAATTTTTTAAATCTAGATTGTGATTATTTCCTAAAAAATTAAAACCAAAAGTATATTTTAAACCAACTCCCTTATTTCTCTCTTTCACCTTCATATTTCTTTCTTTCTCTCTCCTCACCTTTTCTTTCTCTCTCCTCTCACCTATTGTTCAGTGTACATCATCAACTTCACGCCATTAATTTCAAATAAATTTAGCTCAACTTCTAATCAACTATGGCGTCTTTGTACTGTGCTCATATCACAATCGTCTTCGCCATTAAAAACAAGGATATTAAGCTCAAATTCAGGTCGGTATATAATTGCGTCTTCGAGCTCCAATCGGCGACGATTATGTTCGCCATTAACAACATCGTCATTAATTAACATCATTGTTATTAACTTTGCAACAACAATAACAAAGAAATCAAGCTTAAAATTCAGACCAATTATGTCATTTTCAAACTCCACTCAAAGACAATTATGGTCACGCGTTCCGATGAAATTGAAAGATTTCGGCAATCAAAATTGAGTTTGTATTATGTATGATAGTATGGAGCAATTTTCTGAGATTCTAACATAAGTTTTTTCATTTTCAATTATGCATTTTTATTGTATGTGTTTTTGCTCATTTTAATTTATTTTGCTCATTTTAATTTTAGTTTGTTCATTTGTGAAGGATGTGAGCAGAACAACATGTACTAAATTAACCTAGTGAACTATCTACCCAAAGATAGGCAGAAAATGAAGTGCATGATATAAACTAGTATACGGTTGGTCTTTTATGGTCCAACAATTATTTACATTTTCAGATATAGTAAGTAAGTTCAAGGTTTCATATTAGTTTGAATGTTTTAAAATTGTTGCTCATTTGATAAATGAATAAAGAATAGTTACTCATTTGATAAATGAGCAAACAAAACAAAGAAATATTGTTTGCTCATTTAATAAATGAACAAAGAATTATTCCTTATATATATATATATATATATATATATATATATATATATATATATATATATATATATATATATATATATATATATATATTGAAATTGTACAAGAAACTAATTGCATGTACGTCGTAACAATTACAAATTTAATGGATGACAACGTGACCTTGAGATAATGAGATTCTAAGCTTTTTAAACTAAATATAAGTTGAATATGATGGTTTACTTAGCAAAGTCATTTTTTACACTTAATTTATGATTAATCAAACACGGTACGTTTATCCATCCTGCCTAGCAAGTGCCAT